CTGAACCTTGTTTACGAATTTTGCATGAACTGTTTCCTTTGTTAATATACTTTCTTTCGAAGATGTAAATAGAGGTTACTGTAGGTATTATACGATTTTGTTACCCAAGAATTTTTTTTATTTATCCAGTTCAATTTCTAACTAATACCAACGTAAACGTATTAGGAAAACTGATTTGAACCTGCTTTAAGGTTCAGTAGCCGGTTGTTTTCTTTGTGTTAATTTCCGGATACATTGCATGCGTGCCATGTATTTCTATATAATTTATGGGATGTTTTAAGATAGTTATTTGTCTATTAATCATTTATTAATAGCTCTGCATAGTCTGTTTAGTAAAAGGATCATATCTTAAAAAAATAACACTATTTCTTTGGATATTTACGATAGGTTATGTAGGCGGGAACCAGATTTAAAATTGGAATAGTACAAATACAGGGTGGTCCCCTAAAAATATATCTTAAATCATAAACGTTTTTCATTTCAAAGAAAACAGTGAGCTTTAATTAACTACGGTTTCCAAATTAGTTAATGTTGTGTGACATATGCCACCTCCTCTTAATTTTTTATCCGTACTTATTTTCTCATAGCAGCCTACCGAGACCGTACCTGTTTTGGCGGGGAACTGAGATGAAATGCAATTTAATTTTTCAATGCCACTGTCACTCGTTCGTAAGAGTTATGGATGCGGCGTTATTGCCACATTTCGATAGGTGACCGTAAATCAAGTTGAAACTGCAAACCATAAAATGAAATTTTTAATTCGGACCGGTGCGCGGTGCCTCAAATGTGCCTCAAACCGCAATATGCAAAAAGCAATATTAATTAAAGTTAAACCAGTGTATAGTATTTAAAAAAATGTGTTACGATTTTAATTTTTAGATGTTAAAAGAAAAATAAATCATCAATTTTGATTAACCTAACAGAAATAAAATAATTGAATTTTTTTGTAATCACTTATTTATAATAAAGTAAAACTTAAACAGCACAACAGAAATGTTCAGCAACTTCGTACCTAATATATGATTACATTTAAGGTCATGATAAAGAGAGTTGCTCGATTCTATGGTTACTGTTAAGGTCCTTCCTCTGTTCAAGTGTGTGGGCTTCATTATCCTTATTCCCCTCGCATTTTTCACTTTTAATGTGCTCGTCTTAGTTCTTACAGCAACAAATTTTTTATTCGAGCCGCACAGATGCTACTCGAAAAATAATTCTCATTATTTTGATTGGCGCTATATATTTCCTTCCGAAATAATGACGACACAGGGTGGGCGGTTGAAACTTACGGAAAATGAGGCTTAAATTGAAAAAAAAAGGTTTATATTTTAAGCGTACTTTTTCAGGGTATGGGCTACAAAGTGTGAAGTTATAGTCTAGTAAAACACTAAAAATATTTAATTATTTCTTTTTAGTAAAAAAATTATCATTACTTACGTTTTCAGAGTGGTATGTCTTATTTTAGACACGATATTCTGAGGGACTTACCTGTAAAAAAAAGAATGCAAGGTAAAATGGGTTGTGGTTGTGATATAGTCTACAAAGTACCCGCAGGGTAGTTGCTTTTCAAAAGATTGTTAATTAATTTAAATAACATAACAGACACGAGAATAGTTTGAAAAATAGGTACAACTATGATGAATATAATTAGTACAGTATAACAATTTTCTTCATAGAAACAACTGAGGAATCGCCACCTTTAATAACGAAACCACCCGTGTGTTCCATTCTAAGAACACAAATTACATTCGGTGTTTGCAGAAATAGTCAGAAATTGAATATGTACTTATCACTGTATCTGTACATCTCTATATGGTTTACGCTTTCCAGAATCGAGTCTAATCAGTTTTGCGTTAGACTGAACACTTACAGTACACGAATGTTACGCAAAACACACGGCAACATTCACGTTTAACCAAGTGAAAACCTGTAACGGCAAAAGGAAACATTCCAATGCGGAAATCAAAGGGTTCGTTTCACGGCAATCGGTGGGTGTGCAGGCGCTTGGTAACGAGGCTCGCTTCACCTAAGATAATTGACATGTTTATTATGACATGTGCTAATTTGAGCAGTGTAACATGGCAATTACATGAGATCACCCCTTAACGGAGCTAGTACGGCCCAGTGAAGCCGATGTAATACTTCCCACCTGTTCAAAATACAGGGTGTTAGCGGTAAGAGTGGCATCGGTCCAGCATGTGAAAGCTTGGAGTAAAGCAAAGTGTTGTACAGTTTTTTTTAAGTAAAGTACGAAACTGAAGCATTAGATAGAAAAATGTCATTTCAAACAAAAAGTTTATTTTTTCTAATAAACTTTTATTATTACTTTTAAAAATTATAAGCAATATCGCCTTAAAGAGTCGCAAAGGAAGTACATCCCATTTGGCACCACGTGTCCCAAATTTTATTTAAATTTCTTGTATCTTCATAGCAGGCCCATACTATCGAGTGTTTGAGACACCCCGTATACCACGTACTCCGCAATGTAGTGAAGTTGCGCGAAATACTTTTAAAATTCAACTGGTGAAGTTTGTTATGGCATTGCTATAAAAAACTAGCTGAACTAAATTCTCATTTGTAGCAAAACAATTCCGTTTGCAGTGTTTGACTAGTAAAACGCAATTAAATGGAACTGGAAATCTGCTTTCCGCCCTATTACTAGACTTTGTTTCCGGTTTATATCGATATAGAGGGATTACCGGGGGTGGTGGGAAGTGATCTACATATCCGGATTAATTCCTCTGATCGTTATTAAATATCCTTCAATAATTTCCTATAAGGTTGAATAACTAAAGGTAACAGGGATTTTAAATTATAAAATCGTTACTTCCGCCCCAGAAAATTGATTCCAAACACTTGGTTTAGGGAAGGGAGCAAATTTGAATACGAATAAATAGTAACACAAATTATTTTCTCACATAATTATTACCGAAATATTACGTATAATATTCTTTTATGTTTTTTTTAGGTTTTCTTTTATAATTAGCGATATTTAGAAAATATGTTTTCTCTATGTAGTAAATTAGTATAAATAAAGTTTGTTTAGACAACCATTGTTCCATTTTCATCGTGCATTAAGTTATTTATGGTACTAGTGTGTTACGGTATATACAGTGTAGGAAAGTACCGATGGTCTATCAGAAGTTACGTGAGAGCGATAAAGTAAGCCATAGAAATCCATGTGATAGACAAGGATGGCTATAATGAAGGCGTCTAATAGTNCATTTGGCACCACGTGTCCCAAATTTTATTTAAATTTCTTGTATCTTCACAGCAGGCCCATACTATCGAGTGTTTGAGACACCCCGTATACCACGTACTCCACAATGTAGTGAAGTTGCGCGAAATACTTCTGCTCGTTATTAAATATCCTTCAATAATTTCCTATAAGGTTGAATAACTAAAGGTAACAGGGATTTTAAATTATAAAATCGTTACTTTCGCTCCAGGAAACTGATTCCAAACACTTAGTTTAGGGAAGGGAGCAAATGAATACGAATAAATGGTAACGCAAAATATTTTCTCACATAATTATTACCGAAATATTACGTATAATATTCTTTTATGTTTTTTTAGGTTTTCATTTATAATTAGCGATATATTGAAAATATGTTTCCTCTATGTAGTAAATTATTATAAATAAAGTTTGTTTAGACAAACACTGTTCCATTTTCATCGTGCATTAAGTTATTTATGGTACTAGTGTGTTACGGTATATATAAGTCACTTTCGCTGGGAAATGTTTATCTGAACTTTTAAAAAAGCTAATGCGGCTACTTCATCATTCCGGAGAAATCAAAATCTGTATACAACAAAGAACTGAAGGAATTTCAAGACTAGAAAATCAAAGAAGGGGTGAAAGGCGTAAATGAAGATGTCTTGCTGGCTTATTTTTTCAATTTAAGTGATAAATTAGCACCATCCACATTGTGGACTAAATATTCCATGTTGAAGTCAACTTTGAGAGTTTACATGAACATTGAAATTTCTAAATTCGGAAGACTAGTGGCATTTCTAAAGTCTAAACACAAACATTTTCAACCAAAAAAATCCAAAGTCATCCAATTTTTGCGTGAAGCCCTAGACGAAGATCATCTTATGAATAAGGAATGTTCCACTGAATAGTTTAACTGAGATATTTATTAAATTTGTTGTTTTTAGGTTGTTGGGAGGAATTGATCCATCTAAGCATAGACAACATAGAGGACAAAGGGCAGTATATCCACATCATGATTTCTAATACTAAAACGAACAAACCTAGAAGCTTCTCTGTGTTAAATGAAGGATTTTGTGTTAATCCAATTGAATTCATTAGAAAATAGTCTAAGCTAAGGCCTCAAAATGTGCAGCATAAAAGGTTCTTTTGCAATTTTCAAAAGGGAAAACGCCACGGTGGATGGAACTCATCTACTCCATAAGCTTTCTGAACTAGTGAATTTGGAGGTCGATGATGAGAACAATAAATCAACTTAATACTGAGTACTAAATCATTACAAGAATCCTTTAGAAAAGTAGTGTTAGCCAAGAGCAAAACGTGATAAGTTTCAGGCAGCGGATGTCAGTTTCGGAGTTAGATTCTCCGAGACTTAAAATGTCGAGACCGCCGTGTATCTCAGGTCCTGTGAGCATATAAATTGCATTACTCAACAAGATACGATCTTGTCGAGATTATCTTTTAAACGTACTTCAAAAGATAAATGTACCATAGCATGCCATCAAGCAAATTCTAACGTGGTTTGGGTTACGGGTTGCGAAATTGGTAATATGAAAGCCAGACGTGCAAAAAAAACGAAATTTTTGCGTATATTAGGCTCCAAAACGGGCGTGAAAATGAACACATTTTTACAATTCAGTTATTTAGACAGGGCAATCCGCTGCTGCAAATATCTGAAACGTATTCGTCATCATGAATAGGCAGATAATTTATTTATTTATTTAAAATTATACAGCCCTGTGGTAGTTTAAAATTATAAAGCAGGATAAAAAACAGGAAATAATTGTACCTAAAGTATCTTTAGGTGAAATCACGGGTTGGTACATTATTAGCAAAAACTTATTAACTTGTAATAAGATCCAAGAATTTATTATTTAAATTTAAAATGTTTCCTAGACCCAGAAAGTTCGAAAAATTCGCAAATACTAACAAAAAATTTATATTTCTATTGAAATTGAAATTGAAAACTTTTTTTACAACCCGCTAATAAAACCTATCCTATGGGTTCAAATCAGAAGTACTATCAATCCATTAGTTTTTTTTAAATACAGTTAAGTTTGAAGTTGATTTGATATTAAGTTCAAAACGTTTTTAAACGCTAAAAAGCCCAGGACCACTGCAGGAATAGCACACAACGGCATATCGGCTTTACTAAAAAGTGAACACCGTGGAACACCGTTGTTTATTCTCACGTTTTGTAAATAAAATTTGTGCCCATTGTGATTTTTATGATCCCGCCGTGGTCGGTGCATGACGCCATCCATGCAAATATTTGCAGATGCATCACGATGCTGCGTGCTGTTTTTCACAAGTCCGCAAGAACCCGAGAGAGTATTACTCCGACTACACGAAGGTCTTATACGTATGTCTGATTGCAAGATGGAAACACGGTTATACTCTAGCTATAATAATTCATTTACGGGTATTTATATGACCGCTGGGAAATTTTATAGTAACGTAAGTGAATCCTCTATGGTAGCTTTAATAAAACCAGGTCAGAGATGCGCTTGCTTCTATAAGAATTGGTTATTTGGATGAACTAAAACATCCTTCTAATCTATTATTTTCTTTGATGAGTAGAAGTCGGTGATTATGTCGTTCTCAAAATTTTCCGGTACCTCGAGAGTTGTCGTTAGTGATACTAGTCAGCCTTTATGCTTTTGATTGGCGCCATCTTGTTTTAATAGTTATTGTACAATCTGTAGGTGGTATACTGTTTATATAAAGTTAACGCGTATGGACAAGGTAATCGTCAACAATTGGTACATCGAGCAAGTAGTATCAGCGACCCGAAACAGATGGATGACGAACTACATCATCTGTGATCTGAGGAAGTAGATTAGATTGAACGAGCCGTCAGAATGTCATCTAAGGACGATGAAAAAGAGTATCCAAGCAAAGACCTGATAAGGAAGTACAAACAAGGTGGGCCACATCTTGAGGTCATAGGAATATTCTTTCTCAAGACCAGCCGCAAGAACGATCTACTTCAACCTCGGTGTGTGCAGCATTAGACAAATGAGAAGACACGTTAGTACGAGAGTGTCACTTGAAGAATACAATGTAGAACAATCAGCAGTTTCATAGCACAGGGGGCAGATATAGGACGTGCGACAGATCTAACTAACACCAGAATTCTGGTCAGAGAGACAGAGAGAGAAGAGACTCTTCAACTCAACGGTGAGACAAAGACCAATCAACTGGAACACCTTGAACCAGTGTTCACAGCAAATACAAAAACCAGTTAGACGACTTAATCTCCACTTAATAAGGAGGCACATTTGAAGGAAAAGAATTGTAATTTATTTCGACAACGCAGCGGCAATCAATTCGTTCCAAATCAAATCGAGGCTAACAAAGGGTTGTTTATAGTTTTTTAAGGTTACGAAATAATGACGATAACTCTCAAGCATTGTGCTAGCTAATTGCATTAAAACATTTGTACTGGAAAAAGTAAACAATAAGAGCCAAAATGATCTTCCTTCCTTAAAATTTAAAAGGAGCATCGAAGGAGTTTACAGGGGATACTGAGCTAAAGTCTCAATTCTGTAAAGGTGTTTGGTAAATGGGTCTGGCAACGAGTAATATCGGTTTGGTAGATGACAGCCTGTGTAGAATCTCTCAGGAGAAATATTAGACTGCATCCTATACATTTCGCGAGTTTAAAGACGAGATGCTGGAAGCTATGTGCTATTGTCGAAGCTAGATCAGGATTGTTGAAATAAAAAATTGGGGATGAAATAGTGATCTCACCCTCGAAGACTACAGTGAAATGTACTAAGTCTAGGTTTTAAATACGAATCCTTATTCGACAAACTTTTAAATAAAAAAGTGTATATAAAAAGTGTTTTTAATTTACTATCGTTCCCCAAAATATCGGGAGACAACTTAAGACTATCTTATATACAGTATTGTTGTATTTCCGCATGCACTTCCTAGAATTCGCTCGCAGGCACCGGCGCCCCATGTAATCCCACTTGTTTGGGCTAGATACCATCAAAGGAACGCCGGGATAGTTCTACCCATATCCGTTTGTTGGCTGCTTCTGGATCCATGTTAATTACTCCTCTAATATAAACTGGCTCCGGGCAATCTGCACATCATTAGTATTTAAACTCGCACCGGATTATCGGGAACCCTGTCCCACATTCGTTGCCGCTACTCTTCCTCTGTTTATACACTAGATTCGGATGGTTCAGCTGCGCCTCCTTTAGGGGATGGCCTGATGACTGATTGGAATGAGCGGAGTAGCTTTAGAACGAGTAAGTGATGCTGATCCAGCCCTATCTAATGGGATTTTCTTGATACTATTCAGCGTGTAAGAAGTTTGATTGCCATTACTTAGATTTCGTATAAAGAATAGTATTTTGGTTTAATCTCGCATTAGATACCTGCATTTCTTGATACATCGAAGATTGCAAGCATGTGCCCACTTGTCCTGTGCCATAAATTTAATAACCTTTGTGACTTTTGTGATATACAGATATACTGAATCTTTTTATTTTAAATACTGTAATGTCTAGACTCTAGACCAATTGTGGTAAGTTAGTAAACATTAAAAATATTCCATTTGCAAAAAATATTTTTGCTAATTGAACTTATATACCTCGATACTTATGTATTCTTCAAGTAGCATCTTTGTACTTTTTATGTGAGAATATGATGTCGACTTCCTTCTCGACTCCAGCAGTTCTCAATATGTTGGCACTTCTTTTTTAGATTACGTTATTATTATTTTTGTCACTTGGTCATATAAGAAGGCAGTCATCCCTTAAAAAATGTGGGACTTGCCACAAAGAAATTCTTCGCCATATAATCCCAATAAAAAGAAAATCGTTCTTCCGCCGCGACCTAATTTCGTCGCTCACGAGCCCCCCAGAGTGCATTATCGCCAACCGATTCGTTTCCGAAAAAATTTATCGCCCCCTGGCTGAATAATTGCCGACTTACTTACTATTCAATATCGGAGACCCTTTTATGTACGATCGGATTGAACACGTGTCCCAGCGCTCGGGGAACAATTTATTGTCTTAACAAACCGTGACACGTCCGTCGCACTTTAACGTCTTAACTTTTATCGCTCGCGATGTTGCACAACTCATTCGAATCAATTACATTTCCCCATGACTCGCTTGCCGGCGCCGCTTTCGTTTCTTTTTGCCCTCCGTGCCAATTCGAAAAATGCGTTTCTTCTTGTTACCGGCCTCGTTCCATTCACTGGGCTTTTTATAGCGACTGGTAACGCCGGAACAGTCGGTGCACTAACTGGACTCGTTCCTTTGTGTAGGGACAGTTATACAGGGCCGGAAACGATGGGATCTCTCGCAAGGTGATGCTTATATCCCAAGAAAAAATACCCGCTGCGCCCCCTTGTTGAAGAAGAGCAAAATTATTATCTAAAATGCGGCTAAAGTTTAAAAATTGTGACAAATGAATAGAAGAATATGTAAAAACAAAACTGAAGGAGACAAAAAATTGAATTGGCAAAAAACAACAGGAACAGCAAAATAATGAAGATCCACATTGACAAGCTTTATATTTGTTTCACAATAAATAATTATTTACGCCATAAAGGGGGTAAGTATTATTTACCAGTCGAGGATGATTTTGCGCCCCAGCGGAGCGAGAGCTGGTAGCAGAGTTTTTGAAACTAGAACATCCTGAAACATATACAGGCCATTCATTCCAAATAACATCGGCAACGTTACTGGCCAATATAGAAGTTGATGAGACATGGTGGGTGGAAATCAGCCACAATTGCAGAAAGTTATGTTACTGACAGTTTAAGTAACAAAAATGAAATAGCCAACAGGATTCTTTACAATGACACTTCAACTCCAGGTTTTAGTAGTACGTCGCATCATGCTGTTTTAATGGATCAGTCAGATAATATTGAGCCCCCGGTGACTGAAATGGAGCGATCAAATTATTTTGAGAAAAATGTGACAATTAATAAACGCGAGAGGACTAATTATCCAGATTTTATAAATATTACTAAATATAATAACTGTACAATTACTATAAATATTCATTCATAATAACTAATAAAATGTAATGTTCATCAAATACTTTTAATTATTTGTTCATAAAATATGTATAGACACCAGTTTGTGCAGTATCGTGGATTTCCGTCATGTAAATTCCATCAATCTTCAGGAGTACCGCAAGGGTCAATCCTGGGGCCACGTATGATTGTTGTTTTTATTAATGACTTAACTGAATGCCTCGATGTCAATTATCTACTCAATACGGACGACCTTAAGCTGTTTTTAAGTTAAATCTTCTACTGATTTGACTAAGATAATCTTGACAGCTTATGTAGTTGGTGTTCAAATAGTAATCTACCTGCGAATATAAGTAAACGTACAATTATGTCCTACAGTCGACCCAAAGCTACTCTCTAGATTTTGATGATAGAATCAGTGAATTTCTCCTAACCTTGTGACCTTGCTTGGTGCTACATTTGATACTAGATTATCGTTTGAAGAACGTATTAGTTTAGTAACTAAATCTGATTTTAAAAATTTAGTCGTTATTTTACGTGATTCTAAGGATTTGCGTTGCAAATTAGAATAATATATGCCTCGATTGTTTGGAGTTTTATTTATAATGTTTGATGTTTGTAATATGGAGAAAGTAGAGTAGTAGAGCTTTTTAAAGACTATTCCTTTTATTAGTTATGGATTTTATCCTCCTCGTGGTACATCTCAAGAATTATCGCTTTCATGTTTTAATTTTAATAGTCTCTGCCGTAGGCGAATTATGTTTTCAATTATATTTGTTAGTATCGAATATGATAATTCTAGATTTCCCATGAGGCAACTAC